CCTCGCTGGTATGGGGCTTTGGGTAAGGCTGCTTTCGAAGCAGCTGAGTTGCGATGCTTGAAGTTCATGCATTTGAGATTCGCAATATTTGTAACTGTTACCTAAACTGTACCTGAAGTAAGTGGAAGTTCAATGAATGCCAGAAGTGCATTTACGGAGTGGTGATGGCGAGTGACAGCTGTTTGTCTGGCCTCCGCTGGTAGGATACAGTGGGCGTGCCAGTGTACAGGTATGTGCAGTTATATCAATACCAACAAAAAAAAACACCCATAGAAATACCGAAGCAATCCGCTGAAAACATATGCCAGGGAGTCAGTTCACGAAGGCGTACCAATTATCAATTGAAAATTGCGTGTTGTTACTTATCAGTCGGAGAAGTACCGGCTAAGTGCGGCCGGCAGCTTTCGTTTACAGTCTGCGTAGCTGAAAGCGCGACGTTCGATCGTCAGCGCTCCTTGTGCGAACATCGACATGAGACAAAATAGTTGATTTAGGTTCATGTATGTCTAAACCATACTTTACAGTTATTCTCACACTTTAAAGTTGTGTGTACACGAAGCAAGAAGCGCCGGTAACATATATGCCAACGCGGCTGGCACGACAGGTTTAATGCTCGCTCGGCCGGGCACTGGGTAAGGCCGCTCCAGAAGCGTTGAGTCGGTATATTTGAAGATTCCGCATTTGAGCTTCGGAACATTTCTAGCTCTTACCTGAATTAAGTAGAAGAATAAGCATAACCATACATACATTTATGCGGTGTGGCAGAATCGAACGACAGCTTTTTTTTCTCGCCTCCACTGGGAAACTTTGCGAAGCGATCGAGAGACCTCATTTACGTTTGGTCAACTTTGCGGCAAAAAGAATTTTCTGTTTCTGTTAGGAGTGGTGTGAAGCTCCAGGCTTACAAACACTGCAACTTGGAATCGTTACAGCAATACACGGATGATGCGATTATGGCACCTTCACGCGGAGGCATATGCAAGAAGGTGCATTATAGTTGTTGCGATGCGTACGTGCACCACAAAAATTACGAATGCTCGGTATCTGTAAGGGTAGCATGACTCCCTGTCGTCAAATCAAGCGTTTTATATTCAACGACACCGAAACAAACCACGGCACACGCTACAATAACATGCACGCTGCAGCTGCGCTGGTAGAAACAGTGCGTGTTCCAGTTTTCACCAGCGCTTGCCAGTCAAAATTCCAGCGCTTCCAGCGCTTCGCAGTGCGCAGCAGCATCACAGCGGTACAGTCAGCGCCCCTACCAGTGCGACGCAGCTTTTTCCTAATGCTTCCAGCGAAGTGCCAGTAATTACAAGCGTGTACCAGTGTCTTCAGCGTGTACCAGTGTCAAAAAACGTACTGGCATCACGCTGTTTTTGCAATAGGGACGTCAGCATTGAGAAGCGTTTAAAGAGTTCTCCATGTGGTTGGCACTTTGCAGCAAGCCAGTATCTATGTTATAGTGGTGGTTGGTTTCCGCCTTACTAGCATTCATTGGTGCACGAAAGACTAACTAGAGCGTTGCGTGATCCCAGTATATTACTGGTAAATTATTGTTATGTATTTTTTTAAACTGTATTATCACTGAGTTCACTGTAGCTCCGCTCACGTATTTCTGTCACATATATGACTGTGTTAAACGTATACTATCTGAGTCAAAAGCAAAAACAAATGGCCCCGCATCTGCATGTAATCTGCAAATGTCGTCGAAACACGATGGTCTTGCGTGTGAAGAGAGCGAAGAATTTATTTGATGTTCTTTGCAAGAAAATCGGAGAATAGTATTTTGGAGGCGCTGCGTTAGAGTGCCTCGAACGTGCAGCGGAGGCAAACGAACTCATCAAGTCACGTCGCACGTGAGACATGAGCGCCACCCGGCAGTGTTCTTGAAAAACGAAGCACGTGGCTCTGAGACGGGTGTGCGCGCCCGTCTCAGAGGTGATAAGGTGTAGAACGCTACGCGACGTGTGGGTGCCACCAGCATCGCGTCTTGGCAAAGCATTGGAAACATTCACCTTTTCGTGCAAGCGTTGCATGGTCAGCACACCCTGATAAGCGCTATGGACCTTCAAATTACTTATCTATGCCTTTTCTAGTAAAAGATGCACATGCAGAATACATATGTGTCGCTATGGTGCCCCAGACTTGCGCAATAATTGCTTATTATTTGACAATTGCACAAGTATTAACGCTAAACCTTGAGCAACACTTGTGGGCGCTGCGGATGGGGTCGGCCATTTCAAGTTTTCTGTGCCGTTAATTAAGAGTGGACAAACAGACCAATGTACAGACAGACAGGCAGACAGACAAGAAGACAGACCGGAATTTTCGCGTCGAAGGTCTGCAAGAAAGACTATCGTCTTAAAAATACTAGAACAAAAGGTTCCATCACTGGGCGTCGCCCCTATGACCGCTAGATCTGCAGCGCTTGGTTCTAAACCACTAGGCCACGGAGCTTACGTTCTCCAGCTTAGCTTTTTGTACGCATCATATACCATTGCGAGGGGGGCTTCAAAGCTCACTAGTTAGATTGCGTTTTCCTCGTCGGCAGCGACCCAGTGCATTGCGAAACGCGCAAGTGTCCAACAGGCGTGGTAGAGGGTGTGCACTTGCTTATCTCATGATCCGCGTGCTTTGTAGAAGCGGGACCGCGTTAGTGAGCGCGTGTTGCAGAAATGCCGCCTTTGGCGTTGACACTGCTGGTTTTGAGCGAGAAATTGTGCCTGAGCGAAAAATCGAGAAAGAAAGAAAAAATGAAAAACAAAATTTCCGTTCACATTGAGGATCGAACCCAGCCCGTTCACGTGGCAAGCAGGTGTCCTACCAAGAGCCACAGTGGTATTTGCAGCTGCTACCAGAAAAAAAAAACACTTAATAAATGTCATGAATAAGAAGGAGTCCCCTTAACGCATTTTGACCGACAGGCGTCACGACGAAAGCAAGTCCATTCGTCAATTTGTAGGCGCATTTGGGAGGCCATCAAACTACGAGGAAGAAGGCCGGGATAGTGCAGCCATTGCTGCTAAAAACACACAGGAACTTTAAAAGAAGGAGGAATAAACTTCATTACAGGAACTTTCAAACAGCTCTAAAAATGAACAACTATGTCCATCTAGCGCAATACATATCATGGCTTTCCAGAGGCTTTCATCAAGCAAACAGCAAACGCTAAATTTTGTGCTGCCATCTTTGACACATTGTGACACTCATTATAGACTCGAAAATAGCAAGCGCACGGCGTAAATCTTGGTAGCCATGCGACTCTTGCTTTAGATCAAAAACATGTGGGTACTTAGCGGTTGAAGGGCGCACTAGGGGACGCATTTCGCTATTGCGTTCAACTGTTGAAGGCGAAGCTTAAGGGTCTCCAATTTTCTCTTGTGCTTGTACAGCAGGTTTGCTCTGAAGTTACAGTGGTTCAAAAAAGCACAAAAGTCAGTCCTTCTGCGACTGCATTTAATAGAGGAGCGCACTGCTCACACACAAACTATGACGTAAAAACTGTGACAGTTGTTCGCGTTTTTGCTTCGTGTGGCTTTGTGTTGGTTTTGTGCGTCTTTTTTTTTTTCAGTTTGAGCAGTGAGCTTTAGATGTCAGGCTGTAATAGTCCACACTCGTCTTGTGTATGCTCATTTCTTCAGTGCCTAGTGCTTGAGCTGCGCTGAAAGTTTTGATATACTTATCGCTCTTCACGTGACATTACTGTTTTTGTTGTTGTAGAGTTCCTTTCTCGTCCCTTGCGGTGAAGCACTGCAAGATAAATAGCCAATAGCGTCTGTCAAGACATGTTTCACTTTCGTGACATAGCTAATGCTAGACTGAGGGATCAGGCATGGTATTTTTTTCACAAACTCTCGCTCCATTTTTAGAGCCCATCGACAGATGAGTATTCACGCTGTCACGCTCTGCTTCCCAGATAGATTGATAGATTATATATTTGCCTCAATCATGGACGAACTGCAGCCGTATGGTGAGATGTTGAGGACCGACACGATTGGTCGCCGATGAAATGGTAATCACTAAAGAAAAACAACACAACCACAGCTCAGCTATCTCGGCAGATTTCACAGATGATGGCACTGGATTAATTTGACAGCGAAAGCTGTTGTAAAAACTCAATCGCCGATTTTGGCGCTGCAGTTGTCTGGCGACGCCACCAGCAACCATAACAGCTATCGCGCGAAATAAAAAAAGAAAAAGTAGCATCTCGATATTTGCGACTGCCTGTTTTGGAACAGCAAGGTAACAATCAGCCGTTACACCATGCGAATTGCGTAACGAGTAGGTTGTTGAATGCTCCCACCGACTAAAAAAGCGTCACGCATAATTCTTCGCCGCCGTCTCCCACAAAATTACCTAAGTTGACGTAATTCTCTACAAGTGTGTAGCGTGTACCAGGCATCGCTGAATAATACAAAATAATTGAATAACGAACTCTTCGTGGCAATAAAAAATATTATGATATATCACACGCTCTAGCAGCGCCCAGCCTTCATTGCTTCTCCAGCCATCTCGATGTAGCATCCCTGAAGAGCAGCAGTCATCGCACTCATCTCTAGCCACGCAGAGGATCCTCCACGTCCTCGTCGAGAATCCTCTTCGTCTTCGGTGCCATTGTCAGTAAAGTCACCGACTCGAGCGAGAGAAATGGTGTAAAGTGGGGCGACGGGGCTCGCTTTTTTAAATATCAATTCATAAGGACTCCAATCAGGTTATTGTCATGTCATGTCATGGCGTATAAGGTACCGTGTAAATGTGTTTGTAGTGGTTGTCCGAAGACTGTTCGAAAAATAATCTAGAAAGGCTGCTCTTTGAGCTTTCATTGTGAATTTGCTGAGCGTCGCACGCAGTTTGTGCGTTGTCGTTTTTCTTTCACTCCAAGCCATTCTAAGACTGTTTTCATAAAAAACTTGAATGTATGATACCCCAATGAGTCTAATCATTAGCAGCATTTGAGTTGTGTACAACTTGGCAATAACTGATGTTGATTCTTGCAGATGGAAAGAAATTCACGAATATCTTGATATTTTCAAACGGGCGGTACTGTGATGTATTTCTCGTGCCGAAGCACAAAAACGGTGAGAAGCTTTCATTTATGTCTCATTTAGTAGTTTGTAATATTACAAGGAAATCATTGTAACACCCTCGAGATAAAAAAATGAAACTTTATTGTTTTTTATTTGTAATCTCACTGAGTAATCTGTGGTTCATATTTATTTCGTTATAATTCTTAACATTTTCACGGGCTAATTGGGCTCTCCCCTTGTAGAAGTCATGGAACTGATTCAGCGTACACATCTCTCTACCACTTGTAGCTCTATTGTAATTTTCATTCAAAGAAGTTACTAACGACACGTCTTTGTTTTCAAGCGGTATTAGTGCGTATATTGCCACATGCACTACTTTATTTTTTTTATTTTCGATATTACTGGCCTGTTAGACGTGCATCTACGGCCTTAAAAGAAGACGCACCGAAGCATTTCGAACTATTGTAATAATGATGGTGTTTAACGTCCCTACTTTAGGCTCTTGCGATGAGATAATGCACACAAAGCAAACATTGCAGTTTATTCTGGTACTTTCGTGCTTACTAGCAATAACAGCGGATTATTTGATCACGCATGCACAAATGCTGACGTGACATATTGCTTGGCAGGTTACGCGACACCCGACAATAGTTCTCGCCAATATCAGTGCTGAGCTTGTGTCAATTGTATTCAGAATTTTCTTTCATTTGCCAGACTGAAATTGTTCGGAACAAAGAGTTCCGCAAATCCCAGTCTTGCTGCATCCTCCTTCAGTATGACAAGCACGTGATAATACGACAGATTTGTTTTTATGCAGATTAGTTTGCTCCCTTTTTTGTTTTTTGCAGGGTGTGAATTATGGGTTCGAGAAGACTGGCTAAGAAAGTTACCTTTGTGTTGCGTATTCCTTTACCAGATGTGTGCGCTGGGGAAACCTACATATAAAATTTACACTCCGGAAGAATGCGACAGGAAGCAAGCTCCTGGTTTGCGGCAGGAGTAGTGTCTTGTTTACCTCGTTACTCCAGTTCACTTCATTTTCATTGTGAACTTGACACCTAGTAATTTGAAAAATAAATGTATTATTATTATTACAGGAAACTAAGCAAAATATGCGCATGATCTTGCGAATGAGCAATTTCCCTAGTTTTAATATCAAGGTTTGTTTCAATAAAACCACCTGCGAACAGCTGTATAAGTAAGTAAGCACAGCTTTTTAGGTACAGTCGTCGCCACGTATAGGAAGTTTGAATGTTGGTTTTAAAAAAAGAGCCTCTCCTAATTTAGCAAGAAACTTTAAAAAATGTCTCTTATAAATGCACGGCCGCGAGGGCAGTGTGAGGCAGATTTTCCGTCTTTTCACTAAGAAAGCGCAAAAGAGGCCGCTTTATATATTATCAACCTTATTCACAGAACAGATGCAAAAAAAAAAAAATCAGTGACTGTTGGAAAACTGGGCCGGACACATGGAGTTTCGCAATTCATACCCCCAACGACTGCTTTATATTATTTACATGCCTCTCTATTTTGCCGGCTTTGCACGAAAAAGCTAAACACACTGTTTGTTTTCCGCTTGCTTTTAAATAAAGTTTAGACCAGCACTTTGAGCGAATTCTACCATTTCCGCGACGGCTCACAGATTATCATCAAGTGCTTTTATATTTTTTTAATACGAAGAAAGGCAAAATTTCCACACAAGACTTAAGCAATGAATGCGATAGCAATATCGGGCTGTCATACGATGTAATGCTAGGAGATTTAAGAGCCATGCAAAATGTAGTTAACATGGCAGATTGCGCTTCAATTGAGAATAATGCAGTAAGCACTGTGTCTAAACAGGTGTTGCGTAGTTGACTGTGTGACGTGCGACAGGAGAAGTTTGACATCGGGAAACGGGACAAGCCAAGGGTTGTAACGTCAAAGCACAGTAATAAAATCTCCAGTGACTATCACCGGCACATCTTGTAAGCACACCGGAACGAAGTTTTGCAGCAGGAAGTTCACGGCGTCAGTCTGTAAAGTTCTTGGTGAGATGTACACTGTTGCGACGACGAATCCGCGTGATGTTCTAACGGTGCAAGTGCCACCACAACTCATCTGGGGCAGCGAGTTCAGTTTGTTTATCTGAAGTGATAGTGGTGGTTCGTAATTTTATGAGAACTGAATTCACAGGCACGACAGAACCAGCAACTTTCCAAATATATAGTCCTCGATTTGATGCCAGTAATTGTTACTCTTGTTTGAGAGGGAAAGTTTAGCCAGAGACATTTTAAATTGCCCTGTCATCCAACTGTAGGTGCATCAGTCAACCCACCCAACCATTCATCAAGCCATCGGACACGTCACTAGTTAAGGAAATCATATGTGGTTTTCAAAAAAATGCTTTGTTGAAGTATGTTTTGTCTATTGACAGTACGCTATTGGCTGTATTTATATACATATCTCGCATTAAGTGAGATGTACAGTGTGAGTGGCGGGGCCTAGTGGCCTAGATGGTTCATGCAGCACGCTAAAGAACGAGGGGTTGCTGCTTCCAGTCTACGATGGGCGCCTTGAAAATGTTTTGCCGATTCATTTTTCGCTGTGGGTTTTATATGTAGAGACACAATTATAGTGATTTACGACATCGCGGTCATGGCGGCAAAAGCTTCCCGAGAGTCCATACAATTCCTATCGCAACAAAGCAATTTCTTGATTACTCATGGCTTCCTAACACATTGTTCATAATTTTTGTGTAGTGAACTGGCATTTACTACCTTATCCTCCATCATTCTTTGGAGAGGCTTGGTATCCGCTATACAGTTGCTAGGAAAATTGTGCAATATTTGATGCAGTGATTGACAACGATGAAAAATTATGAATCAAGTGGGCATGCGCCACAGTTATTAGGTTAACATGAACAAGTTTTTTGTAATGATTGTGCTCATCGAACAACCCCCTATTTACGCAATTTGCATTATGTGATGCCTGCTCGTTCTTTTGATGCTCGAAGACCCCTCATTACTCATATTAGCGCGATTCCTTTCACGACATCAAGCCTGCCTGAAGCGAGTTTTGAAACAAGTTTCAAGCGCCTGCATAGCTCCCGGGTCGAATACTGGGCTGGAACGCAGCGGACTCGCGTTTGAATACCATTGTGTCCTCTGTGTTCTTTTTTTACTGTTTTTTTGCTAATTCTTGCAATATTGCTAATGCTGTAAAAGTTTGTACGGCTTCAGTGCTTGGTGAATTCAAACTTCTACACTGGCTGCAGAGTTTTTCGTTATTTATTTCGCTTTCTCAGTGTTAGCACTGCGCTTTACTAACTATAGCCATGTCGCACTACCTAACTTGCCTACGCAGCGGTTGAGTATTCTCCATAATGATTTGAAGTGCACGCGCACGCAAAGAACGAGTTACAAAGATACGTGGTTTGGACGACACATTACCAAGATCTATTAAAGAGAAACATATCACAACCTTGTGGTGCTCATTAACTCATTAACGTGTACTCATCATCGCTCAGTACACGGGTGTCTACTACTTCGCCTCCTTCTTATTGGGATCACCATGGCCAGGATTTTTACTGCAGCCTTCTGGTCCGCAGCCAGGCATCATAATCACTGCTCTACCACGGCGTACTCAAACGAGGTGTAGAAAAGGCATTTTATGTCAAAAGTTTTCAAGAACGTTTACGAAAAGGTGATAATAAATCATTACAAAAGAACACCAAGATCTTAAAGCAAAGCTGTTAAACATGGCACTCCGCGTTACCCACGTCGGTTTATTTCGTGTAGGAGGCGATAACACAACAACGTGAGCCATCGTGAAGTAACAATACAAAACAGCCCTCCCGAAAAAAAATTTGCCCGAATGTTAGTGGGGTGACTGCTAGCAATCTCGAATCCCGCTTCCTTCGAGCGAGTGTCACATGCGACATTTTATTTTACTTAGCAGCGTTCATTATAACCTAGTATTTATGGCTTTTGAAGAAGTTGAATGGAAATAAACTTCATGAAGTCATCATTACAGATGTAAACCATAAGCAGATGCAGTTGTTTTCCCAAGCGCCACTTGCAAACTCGAAGTAATTCTTCTATATTTGACCGGATCAATTGTGGTAAGCAATGCAAAATAAAATCGAAGTCCATTGAGTGTGGGATAACACATCATTTGTCGCCATCAACACGAAAATGAAATGGACTCTCCAAGCAACATCAACCACCGAGGAGCAAGGTGGATAGTACTCGTATTCGAACAGCCATATCTGTGTCTTTAGAAGAGATGTCTATGAGGAGGAAGATTTTTTTTTACTCATCACAACAGATTTTGAAGCTCGATACAAGTGGTATTGGAGGATAGACATTCGCGAAGCAAGGCATCGACATAAGGGGTTTTAACTAAGTCATTGATTTCCGAAATGGTCTCGTCTGTTTCTTGTGTGTCATGTTTATTTGAGCTCTCACGATGGTTTCTAAGTTGCGCTACCAAACGAAAATCAGCGAAGGGTTATAACAGTGTTGCTATTTCCTTAAAGAAAAAAAACAGTTAAACACTCTTTGAAAAGTTTGAGGCCACACAAGAAAAACGAACATGCAGAGAAAATGACACCACTGCTAAAATGTCAGAAATTATTTACTAAATAGGCACGGCGGAAACCCCAGCTGTGTATGACGCGCCTCTTTGAATGTAGCAGAAGAGTACCCTTCAATGTCCAACTGGAAGAGGGCTTTGGAGACAAATACACTCTTGGAATCAGCTCTCCCTTCGACAACCCAGCAATTTCTGAACACTGCAACTAGCCTGAATAACGATTGCGTTATTAGCACTATGCACACTTTCGATTCGAGTGACATGCATTGAAGTCGCCGTCATAGTAACATTCATGGCGCTTTCACTGAGCTATGTGAACTGTTCTGGTCACTAAGAGTACACCCACATTAAGCAAGTGCGCAGCAGTTGTGATGCATGCGTGCGATTTAAACTAGCTACAACACCTCTCGAAAAAACAGTGTGTCCTGATCGAAGCTGCTTCAAGTCAGCAGCAGTAGGGTTCACAGGCGGGCTAGTTGGTACAATTCATAATGGAAGAATTGGAAGCGCAAACCAACGGGACACAAGAGAAAAGACAAACAAGCGCTTGTTTGTCTCTTTTCTTTTGTCCCGTTGGTTTGCGCTTCCAATTATTCCATTAAGAATCAAGTTAGCAGTGTCGACAGTGTTGTGCAGTAGGCTACGGGAGGATACTCTACCTAGAGAAACGGTATATTGTGACTCAATATAAACCTGAGCAAGTTACATCAGTGCACATATTTCAAATGCCATTGAGACTAACGGAACTGCGAAGGCTTCCCGTACATTTATAGCGGTGAGTTTCATATCTGGATAAGGAAGTAACGCTGAAGTTCAAGCTTTTGAGACACCATAATATGACTATAACTCGAGAAAATAACGTGAAAATTGTAACTGTGCGTTATTTGTTCTGGTGAGGGTTTCGGAAAGGTGATGCGGACTGTGAAATGATGCGGACTGTGAAGAAGTGGCCCATGCCGTACTTTTGCGCCAACATATACTTAGATTTATATCGAATAAGCTTTACTATTTATTTCTTTAACAATTATCTCCTGGTAGAACATGAAATCCACTTTTGCTGGTAACTTATGTGTTCGGGTTACGTTAACTGAGAAAGCAATCACGGCTGTCAGTGGCCCAATTCTTTGAGATTTGTTATTTATCTGAGACTGCAGCAAGTGGACATATACGTATTCAGAAATTGGAGGAAGACCCGTCTCTACACAGTCACACTTGGTAGAGCCATTTAATTCCAAGTAGGTGCATAAATAATGGAAACAAGCACTGAAGAATACAGCGGTGACACATGCAACGAAACGCAGAGAAATGCGAGAATTTCTTTTAATATGTAAGCAAAGGTACAAAGAAAGAGAAACAACTTTATTTATGGCAGAATGAGTCCGTTCAACTTAGCGTGGCGAAAGGTAGAGACAGGCATTCCGTGGGTCGTGCGTCCGCGATGTATGTAGTAGCCGTCGTAATAGCAGGTAGCCTTCAGGGCCGGACTAAAGGAGCGGCACGCGCACAGCCTTTTTAATTGAGGAAACCCGCGCACGGTAGTCATACATGAAAATATACTTGTTTCTCCTGAAATAACACACAAAGACAAGTATTGGTGACTTAACCTTCAATAAAATTTGCCT